CCCCAAAACCCCAAAACCCCAAAACCCCAAAACCCCAAAACCCCTTTTCTTTGGTCGATTATTGAAAATTGTCAAATAAAATAAGATTTGAATGATAATTGGAGATAGAGATATAGTACAAAATAACCTAACTTGGTCACCTAAGAGTTATTAGGCTCTAAGAAAGCTCTAGCTGCTTTAAAAGGACAAGGATGGTGGTCATACTATTGATCACGACACCTGAGCTTTTTCTTAAGATTTATAAGGGAATTCAGAAATCAAATAGGGAAAGAATGCCTTACAAAGTTATGTACTGTGTTTTCACAAACACTGAGGTAATAATTACAGGATTTATTCGTCTTCTTCTACAGAAAGAGCATCTCCATCTTGGGGAGGGTCGAGCTCTTGGACTACAAGGTATCTCTTGCCATTAATTTCTATGATATGCTGCTCTCTATCATCAAAATTATCATCGGCTCTTCTATTGTTATTGGTCTTGAACACAGGGACATAATTCTGAATTTTGTCATCTTCATTGTCATTTTCTTGAGATATAGGCAAATTTGAGTCCTTATTCATCAAATTCGAAGCTCTCTTTAGGAAGTCCTTATCTTGCTTCAGCAGAGTAAACTCTATATGCTTTTGGTTAGAAATCTGAGAGAAGAATTATAGTGCATTTAAACAAATTGTGCCAAGGTTTTGCATTTAATTTGCAGAATGAGAGGTCATTAAAATAATCTCAAAGCTTGTTTGAACAACTTTTAACAAATTATATGGAATTAGATAATAAACAGCTCCTTATTTGGCAAATGCTAGAAAAATTTTGGGGATTTTTAGGTCATAGTAGCTTTATTGCGGATAAATAGCTCTACTTTTTGATAGGATTGAGGTGAAGTTAGCATGATGAAGTCCAAAAGTCTTATCTTAAAGCTAAAAATCTACATCTTCACCCAAATCAAAAATATATTCCATACCATCTTGCTTATCTTTATTTTTCCATGGCTGAGTCGGTTTTGCCTTGAGAGTAACTACTGTTCTACCTATCTGGAAAGTCTGACTGTTGTCTTGGATGAGCTCAACATCTTTGCTGAGTAATGCCAGTGTTCCAAATTTACTTTTGAGGTCAACAAACATGAACTTTCCATCTCTATATTCAATATTGGCATGTTTCCTCGAAACAGATATATCATTAATTCTCAGGTCAGCATCATGGCCTCTTCCTAAAGAAAAGATGGTTTTATCTGTATTGACGATCACTATATGAATGGTTCTAGAAGAGTTCTTCTCTGAGTTCAAACTCTCTAAAATAATGTATGGGGTGTCTTTGTCAGTAGGTCTTTTCAAGTCAACTAAATTCCATCTTTTGCCTTTAAACATGAAGGTATAAGGATATGGAAGCTTTCATAATTCTCACTCAAAGTTCTTCCAATTCATAGTTCTATGGCACTCAGTATCATTTTTCTTATTAACTTTAGACTCAAGCCAGAGCTTGAGACAATTGAAGTGGATGTATTTGATAGATCCTTGGCATCTTCATGAGCCAATAATTGGGTTTTCTTCTGTTTGTTCACCAGTCCAGCAGAATCTGCACATAATATCATCGCTATCGGCTGCCTGTACTTCGTGAAGTTCTTCAAATCCTTCATGAGGGCTTTTCTCTACATGCTCTCCTTCAAAATATTCGGTTTCTGTTCTAAATTCCTTGACTTTGAATTTCATTCTGCCTAGTTTGAGGATGTCATGTCTCTTAATAGTATAACCGTTCTTGAGTGAACGGATTACTAGCCATAGTCGGTCGTTAGCCTGGTTCTCATTGATTGGGCTTACAAAGAACTTCTCCTGTTTATTTATAAGCTTAAATAAGAGGGTCTCGTCTTCAGGATCATAAGGATGTTGACTATCCCAGAACATGACATCTTCTTTATCTCTGACCATATATCCTTCATCTTCAACTTTGCGCTCATATTTTTGAACCCTTCTGCTTTCATAATCATAAAGGCCATGGGACTCTCTGTCCCAAGTCTGGGCCTTCATGAGGACGATCTGTCAGGTCTTGGCTTCGTTCTTTCTAGCTAGAGGTTCAGGGATCTTATCCTCCTCCGAGTTGACGATTTCAACGAGTTGTTCTTCTAAGTCATCAACTTTCCTATTTTCTTCCATGCTTGCCTATTAAAATTGGTATAATATTTATTATTCAAGTTGAATCAAAAGAGATGGGGTTTTGGGGTTTTGGGGTTTTGGGGTTTTGGGGTTTTGGGG